TATATATATATATATATAGTTTAGTGTACGATGTGGCGAAGAGACGAACTGTTGACTGTTCTGGACGAGTTTAATGTACAACGTTTCGGCCGTTCGGCCTTCTTCAGGTTAAAAGTTAAAAACTAAAAAACTCTTTACAATGGTTGCGATTTACAGACTTATATACAGAGCAGAGGTCTAAATTACAAGGTCTAAATTACAAGGTGAAAAGGATTAGACAATCAAAGACAAATACAGAACTATGGGTGACATGTGAATACAAATGAGTGACAAAAACTAGAGAGAAAAAATCTAACTTAATTAGTAGTGTTTACTCTTAAGTAACGAGCTCCCCATTGAAGGCCTCTGAATGAATGTAATTAGGTAAAAACCATAACAGGATCCCAGGAAAGGGCCATTAAACTACAGTAATAATTTCCCTTCCAAAGCCCTTGAATGAAAAGCAATGAATCGAGCGTAATCGATAGTAATCAATCGATTAATATCGGAAATCGATAGAAATCGATCACTCGCGTCTTTGTGACTATCGATTTTAATCGATTTCTTTAATTAGCTATCGATTTTATCGATTTGTTCGACAACGAACGAAAAGAAAATGGACGAAGATTCTCTTTCATAAAGTTCTCAGTTTTACGCTAGAATGAGTCACAACTCACTCGAACTAATACACAGCAGTCCAAACTGAACTGATAAACATTCCCTTTACACTTTATTTAAGATTGACTATAAGATTTTTAATAAATTTTGAAACTGAAAAGGATTAAAACATAACCAACACAACTGTTGCGAAACTATCGTTTCCGTCTTCACAATTAAAGTCATGCTTGATGTTACGATATCTCGAGTCCTCTTCTCGTTCTGTTTCATATTTCAACATAAACATCCTCCATACTACAAACAAGGCAACCGTAACGCAACTGTCATTTCCGCCTTCACAAAGTAGTGCTTGTTGCAATATATCATTCACGAGTCCTATTCTCGTCCTGTTTCAAATTTCAACATTAAAAACCTCCAAACTATGTCAAACAAAGCTATCTACACAGCATTTTAAGCTTGGCAAGGCCGATTTACAATGTGCAGGCAGGAAAGCATTTGTGAATTTACTTTGGCGAATAACCAGCAGGACAATAACTCCATCCAAAGACGAAAGAACTCAGTAACAAAG